TTTTTTTTTAGATTTTTGATGATTTTAATAAATCTTAATGTTCTTAGGCCATCGAATTCTCGGGACATCCACTTCGCAAGGCATCACTGTCCAGGCTGCTCGTCCGATCCCTGATCCCTACCTGCATACATAATTCAGTGAGTACGGGAAGATCTAAAACTAGAACATATAATGGCTTCAGGGTTGGTCCCGAGAATTCGATGGCCTGGGCCGAGAGAGAAATAAAGGCCCTAAAAGCAATATTCTTAAGAGGAATTTTACTCAAATAGCACTAAAACATAATGACTTTCCCTAAATAGCACCACATGTGTTTTTCTTCCCAATATAGCACTTTTAGTCATTATGCATTAGTCATTATTCAAGCAAATATTCGTCATCACTGGACATTATGGATATTATTAAGTACTATTTAGAGAATAAAACAATTGAATAAAACAATTTAAGTGCTATCGAGAAAAATGATATGTTCAACAATTTAAGTGCTTACCTTCTCTAAGTGATCGTCCGAAAAAAAAGGATGAACCTCATCCCCGAGGGCTTCTTCAGATCCGCTCGGACGATCACTTAGAGAAGGTAAATAGGACTTTAATCGCAAATTGGTGACAAAGAGTAGAGCCTGCACCTGATACCTGCAGAAGTTCTATGCTTACCATAATTGCCTCCCAACACAGTTGTGAGAAATTGAACTCAGATCTTACTCCCTTGACACTCCTTGTCTTGCTAATTGCGTAATGCCCACCGACTACTCACAGTCTATTAGAGTCTCTCATCAAGAAAGACAAGTTTGTGTGACAGGCACAAGTATATTTATAGAAATCAACCTAAATATGACAAAAACATATAGAAAAGTATTAAAATAGGACTCGTGTTTTTATTCCCGAAATAAGACTTCGCACTGTGGTAATGTGGCATTGTATATATGCACATTACTATACTTTTTTGTAATGTGCATGACCATTTTTGGTAATATAGATGCATTTTAACTCCTATTTCAGAAATAAAAACATGAAAATCCTATTTTGGTACATTTTTAATGTTTTGCTCCTACTTTATTTTTTCCCGTAGATTTAAGGAAGAATGCTCTCAACTATATGGTGCTTTAATTTGATTTATGGTAAATTATTTGGTGATTTTCACGTCTATACTCATTTTATAAACCTTAATACATAAAATAATTACATTTATTAGGTCTTGTAAAAAGAAAGATATCCATTTATAAATTCTTAGAAAAATTGTGAGAAGATACATACGGAGTATTTCACATGTAAACTTTAACACAATAATAAAACAATTCTTGAATCATATAATTCACAAAAAGGATTTGTTTTAAATAAAAAAATAGGAACAAAAGCAGCAAAAAAAAAAAAA